TGTTTACTAGAGGAGTGTTTGGTATAAGAAGTTTTCAGATATTCAACAGCAATCAGGTTTGTAGCCGCAGGTGAAATACATTCTGACAAAAAAAGCACCCGGAAATTGTATTTAAATTCCCTGAGTACGATATTTTGCTTGTATTTTGAGTTTTGAACATATCTTGTTCCATTGGGAGAACATTTTTAACGTCATTCGCTATTGCGCTATGAACGCTTTTATATTTTCGTGAAATCTTCCTATTTTTTCTACGAAGAACTGTCGATACTTTTTGTTCAAATCGCCGTCATTTTATCAAGTTTCAAACAAAGTATAGCTAAAGCCACTTTTCTACGGATTAATAAACAATTTGAAAATTTTGTTTTCGACCAAAATTGCGGCCGCACTCGTGGACTTCATTCAGGATCTTTTTTACGTGTAATTTCAGCAATTTATTTACCCATAATACACCCAATAAATGAACATTAAAAAATTATTTTTTATTCGTCATGAATGTATTTATTTATAAAAAACCGGACCGCTTAGTTAATTTCAACTTAAAAAAAGGTGAAATTCAGGGATTTTTCGAAGGGTCACACTGAGACAATCCTTTAAGAAAAGTCGTTGACATAAGTGTATTACATCTAGTAGTGATTACTTTGAAGGCGACAAAATAAATATTAATGAATAATTCCATATTTTCCATTTATTTACAAACTTTTGTTGTATATAATGCATAATCTTTCTTTATAATATAGATGTGAAGAATTTAATTGATCAACTCAAGGTGAAATATCCCCAAGTGGAATTCAAGGTTATAAATAAATCCAAATATAAAAGTAAACTTCTTATTATTTGCATTTGGATATCTATTTACAAATGATGGCGCAATTGAAAGAAAAAAAAGTTCATTCTTATTCAATGACCCCAAAACAAATAAAAGTAGCAAGCTTAATTACAATATGTCTGCTGATTAAATTAAGCAAGAATTGGACGAAATTTGCCCTTCAACAGTGGCATCTGTGAATAAATTTGTAACGAATTATTCAAAGAAAAAAGGCGTTGATACAGGACTTTTCTTAGTTACTTTGAATCAAGGCTTTGAACTGAAARATATTGCTAAAATTAAAACTATAGCATATTAAATGGTTACGTGGGAAAAGCCCAAGGTTAACCCAAA